TAATATTTTATAGCTTTCTCTCATTTCTTCGCGTCTCCTTTTCTCAATTTCACAAAGAACTTAAATGCCAAATCGGTTCTTACGTCAAGTGTCAATTTTGTCACTTTCTTGCCAGTTACATTAGCACATGGGGTCCGTCCAGAAAATGAATTGTACCGAATAAAGAACGAAGACTTTTGACATATAGCTTCCCGTGAAGATTGTGATCGAGCGAAATCGTGAATATATTTTGCACGTTTCTCGTGAAATATCTCGATGCATTTAACATCTTGTTTTTGGAAAGGTTGGACACCGGTAAGAGGATGCACTTTCTCTTTTTCGGATTTCCAATAGCGATTTCCGCATCTCGTAGACGAATGCATAAAATCGAGGTTAATTTTTTAAGAGCCGCAAAGATCGGGCCGCATAAATGAATTCCGCCGTATAAAATCAGGTACGCGCGATAATTATCTCGAAAGGCCACGAGTCGAAAGATACTATAAACCTAGCCGCGTCGTTTACTCAACTTTGTAGCGTTTGCATATCCACGAGTGTCCTTCAGGTAACGTTGGATTTCGCTTGTTAGCAGGAAAAGTTGCTTTACATTGCAACGTTTAAAGTCTCAATCAAGATTGTTGCGTTTAAGTGATTCATTCTATCCTTGCCTGACGCAGAAAGCTCTTCGATATTACTTGACCGAATGTATTTGATGTAAACATTTCTCTATATTAATATTTAATATCGTCGCACACACATTAATTTCATATAATTTCAAACTTAAAATTAATATAACCAATTGCATGCGGTCTTTCATTTATTGCAACTAAATAAAGTTACGTATTAATAGGAAACTCTCTCTCCATTTTAGGCTTAAAATACATTTGCATTACATAAAACAAAACATTACGTGACGTAAGATATTACAGCTAACACATCTTAGAAAAAACTTATCTTTGCAAACGTAATTTTACTTAATATAAGAATAAAATTAGAAAAGTTGACGCTTCTGGAGAAATCTTGGACAGAGACTGTAGCTTTCTACAATTGAATAATATTTAGCATTAAATATATCTTGCTAATTACACGACAAATAAAAATTCTGACGAAGTGCATAAAGTTCGAACAAGGAATAAGAATTTCGTAACTTAATTGTACTCTGTAAACTGCAAAAAATCAGTCATTTATTTACGCTGAAATATGCGGGTTTAGTTAGAGTTAAATTAAATACTAATGTATCATTTATCTTTTTACATATTGTATAAAATAAAATACATTATGTATTTCTTTTTATGGCATATTACAATACCTTTAAAATGCCTCTCTCTCTCTCTTTATACTCTCTACGTATATTTATACTGCATATCTTACATAGTATAATATATTTCAGAAAGAATTAAAGTATGGGTGAAAGTAGCAATCCGTAAATATATTCCGTTGTAAACAGCTTCGGTTGGGCCCGACGGCGGGACCACACCCTGAAAATTGACCCATTCGGACCAGTTTTTTTTAGGTCGCGCTCATATATACTCTCATTATATATGCGTGACACGAAGGTACCAACAAAAGTAACGATTTGCAAAAAAAAGCCTTTAAAGGCTTCGCCGCGATATCCTTTGAAACTTCCTATATTTGTCTCGCTTAAAAATACTGAGCACTTTAAACACCTTTTTTAATCTCGATTATAATACATTATAAAGACTTTATATATTTTATTTTTTTAATAATAACATTGAAACAATGTTTCACGGTGGAACACTGACGCGTGAGTCTCTGTGTACGTAATTAAAGCCAGGAAAGGCCTCTACAAACACTTGACGATTCCGTTATTTCGATAATTATGTAAAATATAAAACAGGCAACAGATTTGTTATACTAAAACAATTTTTTATTTAAGTATGCGCGTACGACCTAAATTTTATTAATTACTCCTCGTCATTACTTTTCACCGCCTTAAGCGCAGGTATTAACAGATCCATTTAAAGCTAACTAGGTGTGAAGTAGAACGATGAGGAAACTATATAAATTATATAGCTCGCAAGTGGAATACATGTATATATACAAAGAATTAATAAAAGCAGAACGAGTAACAATCTCGCGACGCGATTCTGCGAGAGCTTTCGCAAGAAGCGACACGTCAGAAGGTGCGGAAGGTCGTTTCGTACGAACTGACGTAAATTAAAGTTGAATATAATATTGTTGATGCAAATTCCGCCGGGGTCTACGAGGCAAGGACAATGCGCCCGGACGTAGACGACCCTCTTTGATTCGACGGTGTAGAAGCAGTCCACCTTCGCGGAGCGGAGCCCGAGCCTCTCACCTGTCCAAAGAACTTTTCCAATATCCGCACGGTGTTACAAGCGCCGGTTTCGTAATAAAGCCGGGCAGTCAGGCGATTCCGAAAATCCCGTCGACTTTTACGCGTCATAACTGTACTAATTCGACTTTCTTTCGCGGTTACTTCCTTTTGCACGAACCGTCCGGGAATTCGCTGCCGCCCGTTCCTTTCTTTCCTTTATGAATTCGCCGCCGGCGACACACGGGCATTTCTTCCCGAACGAATCACTCGACCGCATGCTGTCGTGATAAAAAGTACTTCCATACGTTTTACTTTTAATAATTTTAATATTTGACAGCTTTTAATAGTTTAGCATAAAGTACCTCGCGAGTCTCAATTGTTTTTCCTAAAATAAAAAAATGTCTACCTTGTAATAGCTTGTTAAAGAAGGAAAGAGGAACGGCATTCCATCGCGAGCCTTTCGTCACTGTTCTTTAAGGAATGCTTTCCGGGCCACTAAACAAATGACCTGGTAAATGGATTTGTCTTTCATCTATGTCATTGGAGCCATAAAATTTGCATATTACTTTCGGCGGGTATATCATTCTCCAATTTTCTTCGTTTCGATTACGTGCAGATCCAATCAAGTAGATTCGCGACAGTTCGCTTTTAGCGGTACGCCTTGCGGAATAACGTGGCGTGACGTTATACGCCGACTTTTACTTTCAGTATCGATAGCACGACAACTTAAAGGAGACTTAAGACAGATAGTAATGAAACTAGAACGTATATTCACATATCGTGAATTGCACGCAGCCACGCGACTGTTCGCCTAAAGGATCGCATTCTTCATTTCCCACGTACAAATATGAGATGTGTTTGGATATTTTCGTCCACGTGGGCAATAAAGAAGATTATTTTTTTTTTAAGAATTTAGCAGCTATTGATTGCGCAGGAGATCGTGAGGATCCGGAAATAAATATCGTCGATAGGTTCTTCCACAGTTAAAAGATTATAATCTTATATTCATACAATAAACAAGACGTATATTAATTTGTCAAATTTCGCGACATTAAAGTTTTTTTATACATACTTATATTATATTTTCTATTTCTGATGTAGGCGTTTAATAAATTTTGAATTATAGACGATGTAACGAAGTAAAATTTGAAATGATCGATTCTACATATTTACGTTTAATTCGTTACTGTTACAATACAAATCTATTCGTCTTCGAACGTTCGACTTTTTACATCCGGACATTAAAATCAACCGATCAGCTACCCAGAATTTTTAAATCGCTGAAATTTGGAATTTGCGAATCTCGTCCCTCCGATTATTCAATTGGATCTTTAAAATCTGTCGCTGTATCTCTGACTTTCTATATTATCACATTTGTGAAACAATGAGTTGTTACAGTCGGCTCTAAATAGATTTTGTTAATTCTTCGCGGATTAACTTCGTATGAAAATATAATAAAAATCGCAGGAACTGCTCCAGAAAACTCAACGGGTCAAAACTTAAACGATACTACCGCTTCTAATTTACATCTTGTGCAAAGGTTCAATATTGAAAACAAGTTTGTTGCAACTGCAAGAAAGAAAGAGAAAAAAAATTTCAAACGAGAAGTGTACACGCCGCAGTCGTTTTCTTTCAAGCATCGACAGGTCAACGCAGTCACGAATGTTTTAATGCTGCTTATTAACGCTAACGGTGAAGGTATAATCTGTGACGAATAAGACCTATTTGCCGTAACGACTGGAAATGCGATTAATTGCGTTCGCCGGGCATTATTGTCAATGATAAACTGATCGATTGACCCGTCGAGACCGGTTATTACCATTTGCGTTATTCCCAACTCCGGAGGATTCTCTTAATTGCATAATTGGTACCTTCCTGCAATCTCGTCAGCTATCGCATCTTCGCAATCGGACTGCCGCGTATCGCTAGGATTTTCCCTCTCTCGAAGTCTGCTCTTGATTGACGATATATTTTTTTTTATACCGAAGTACACATTTTTTTCATACTGAAACGCAGCGGTCGCTGTTTTCTAATTGCACGTTAATCGAATTACAACCATTGTTTTATCGATTACATCGGCGAGTCTTCTAAAATGTCCTCGGGCGATCGCTTTACGTACTTTCTAAGTAGTTAGAACATCTGCAGTAATCTGTTCTCATGAAAGTTCCCGATGCCTTTTACCTCGCGTCTGCCATTACCGTCAATTACCTGACTAACATGAAGAATCATCTTGATAATCAGCAGTAATTGTGATATTAATCGAATTAATGTTTTTAAAGTGATCGTGAAAACCGCTTCGATTTACCGAATTTTCAGGTGTTTCACAAAATTTTCCTTTCCAGAAACAAAGATAACGGAGGAATAATGCAACCTGTACTATTATTAATATTCTCTCTAAAGGTCAATCAGTGGATCGTCACTGAAAAAGAGTGAATAGTCTCTGATTTACAGCTATAAGTGTACCACTGTGATTTTCAGTGGTATAGAGAAAAGTCCTCTATTATGAGACAAGCTCCTAATATGAGACAGCGGGGTTTCTGTTAAATTAATATGCATCATCTGTCGGTTCTACTATGAATTTATTGTCCTTGGAGCGAGATCTGTTTAGTGAAAAATTCAGAATTTGGGTATTGAAAATCTACTAAATCAGTGACTATTTGCTGTTTTCAGCGATAATCCACTGATTGACTTTTGAAGAGTATACAGTATCGCAATATATTTTCAGACGGATGGACAGAAAATCCATAATCGCGGTGCCACGCGGTTTAACTCCAAAACGACGACTGAATCGAGCATTGTTTCCACATCAGAAACCAGGTCGTCTCGCGACAAGAGCTCGCGTTCGGAAGCAGCCCCCAACTTAGAACGGCGCGAGACGCATTTCGCGAGAGAAGGCTCGGTTAGGCCGCGACCGAAATTAAAGCAGACGACGGACGATTCCGTTACCACATCACGGACAACTTCGAAGGATTTGAATACCAATGCCGATACTTTACGAAATCGTCACAAGTCGCACGCCACGCAGGTCGTTAAAGAAGAAACAACAAGGGGCGCGCACGACAACAACAAGGAGAACAGACCCGAGACGCAAACACCGAGGCGACCGGCAGCTTCCCGAAGAACGTCTTCGGATGCATCCACCGTCTGGGTGGACAATGCGAAGCCGGATGACGAAGTGTTCACGAAGACGCCTGATCTCCTGAGATCAAGAGCGGGAAGAAAGATTCATGCGAGTGGGAGGGAATCGAAGAGAGAAGTAATCCCAACCAGGAAATCGCCAGAAGATGAAAATGCGGAGAAGGCCGAAAGTCCGAGCGACGAGTCGAGAAAGGAAGAAGCACGAGCAGAGTATTCAACGACCGAGAACGTCACCTCGAGAGCGAACGCGTCCAGGAGGATAGATGCGAAAATCACGAATAGTTCTAGCAATCATAAAGATGAAGTGAAGGATGTCCTGCTGTCGGGTTCCGAGAGCGTAAGAGTGGACGTCCCCCTCGTAGTCGGGAACAACGAAGACGTTAATTTTCTAACGTCCGCCACGATTTCGCCAGCCAACGTGTCTCCCAGACAGGCCTCGAGGCCGGCCAAGGAGAAGGTGGAGAGCAACGATATCGCGAGGTCGAGCGCGAAGCAAAGCAGACAGTCGGACCGATCGAAGTCTCGTAACAGATCGAAAACGAGAGATCCTAATTTTGAAACCGCGAACTCAGGTACCTCCCGCCGAGGTTCGTCCAAGTACGGCGGCACTGCGGAGACGAACGAACGGTCCTCCGGTTCCAGACACAGATCTAACGCGAAGAACGTCAATTCGAGGGGCCGTTCCGCGCATAAGTCGAGAGACGCGGTCGCGGCGGAGGCGAGGAGTAGCGGTAGACAGAGGGATGCAGGCACCGATCCCGAGACGAATGCAAACAGACGGACGGAAACGCGACGTAACGACAGACGGACGCCCGAGGGAAAGCGAAGGTCCAAGGATGGCAGGTCGAAAGCTGTGGAAGCCAAGGTAGACGAGCAAGATATCCGGGCGCTGTCCAGAAACCGATCACGCCCAGCAGTCAGCAACCTGGGTAATTTACAGTTTAATCCTGAAACATTAATTGGTACCATTCATAAATTAACAATCCGTTTCAAGGATTGTTGACAACAACTGTCTCAAGGAGATATTATCCCCGTTAATGAAGATAACATTGCTTCAATCGCTTGGTTATTACTGATCGTTTGATAAAATCCCTGAAGAGGTATTTAGATTAATTATATACAAGTTTTTGTACCTCGAATGCAGAATTAATTAATTGACAACGAGAAGCAATATTTCTTCACGTTGTTTAACTAGCTTTAATGATGATTACGATTTTTTTTTCAGAGGTCACCACTGCTTACATTCCGAAAGCGACAGTCGCCGAAGCCACGACCGTACCTTCTGTGGACACAGAGATTACGACACTCAATTCTGCAACGATCAGATCATCGACAACCGCTCGAATATCTCCTTCAACCGAGCGAGCTTCGCGCAGCAAGGGAAGAGACAGAGGAGAAAGTTCCCGAGCGAAAAAACCCCCGAAGGAAGATTTCTTCAACCACGGTCTAGGTTTTCGTGGTCGAAAGAGCTCGACCGAGGGATCGTCCTCGATCGTTGCAGATCCGACCACTACGCCCAGAGGCGAGACGCAATTACGCGGTAATCCCGGATGGACCCTCAGACGTCGACCCAGTCACGTCAATCCCGATGCTTCCTCCTCGACTACGTCCGCGCCAGTTAATCGAGATCAGATCAACGAGATCGTTTTGCCGAATGATTCGGCCAGCACCGAAACGCCGTTAAGTAACGCAAAAGCCGGACGAAGAGGCGGCAAAAAGCCGAAGGCGAAGGACGAGAGCAATACCATATCGAGCGTCGCGGCGAAGGGCGTAACAAGGGGCAGTAAAACTTTCAACAAATCCGAAAATCTCGGTCTACCCAAGGGAGCAGAGCCCGAGAGCGACAATTATCCTCCCGCATTCCGTGCTAGACTGTCTCAATTGGTAAGTCTGAATTTATTTGTACGCAACGAATCACCTATTAATTCCTCCACAATGTTGGGAAAACAGAAGTTTTTTCAGTCTTGGGTCTAAAATGAGGGAAAAAGAGATAATAGATCAAGTTTGCCTATAATCGGCAGTTATTCCGTCGTTACGTTAATTTATTTTAAAATGATTATATTTAGTAATTACAGAATTATTGTATCTATGTATCTATTTATTTAAAATTATTATAATGCACGATAGAGAAGAAAAGATGTTTAAAACGTGTTTCAAAACTTTCGTGATAAGTGTTGCGCAATTCCGTTTCGTTTGAATGCTTCGAATTTTCCATCGCGAAATCTCTATTTGCTGTTAGTAGCGCTGTCGAAGAAATTAGTAGCGAAACAAGCGCACTCAGTTAAAGAATACTTTCAGAAAATTTCTAACTCGAAACCTACCGGAGGAAAAAGTACAACTAGGACCAGCTCGCAGGTAAGGCAGCATGCCGGTCTCTTAACATATTTCTTTAAATCAACTAATGATCATTAATTTATTTTAACATAATTAACGTTGCGACTTTTATAACATTGCGTTCTATTTTTTTTGCAACCAAGCCCTCTGCAGGCAGTTGAATCTACGGATGTTGAAAAAGTTGCACTTAGCATGAAGTAGTCGTTGAATTTTTATTAAGCGAATTTTATTGAATAGCATGTAGCTCCGTATTGAGAAGCGCGTAAGGGGAGTGAAGCGGTAGAAGTACATGGTAGAAATGAAATTAATTAGTATGGTTGGTGATTCCCTTCCCCCACGACGCGTACAATTCTTCTACAGACGTAATTGTGTAAAGCTTGAAAAACTGCCCCACGTAGGAACATCCGAAGGAACGTACATTCCGACGGCATAAACGATCCAGCACGAAAACGATGCATGTATCCGAAAAAAAAAACGAAACTGTGGAAAATGAGTTTACGACAGACGTAGTCTTGCACGTCTCGCCTCTCACGAACCCCCTAACTTCGGTACTCGACCCAGACACGCGACAAGTAAGAACATAGCGGCAGTTTGGTCAGAACTTTAACGACAGTTTGGGATTGTTGCGCACTAATCGGGACCGGCTGATAAATCGCTTCATCATCCCCATGCGTTCCCATCCACGCTTCGGGGGAGCCCCGGGGCTTCCCCTGGATTTCACAAACGGGCATTCCACTTACGGGAATTGTACGCCAGTCTTGGTGTACATGACATTGTTTGTTTGTTTTCAGTTTTTGGATAAAAAAAAGTTTGTAAGAGGCAAGATTTACGTATTTTATTTTAAAGGTGTGCATTTCTCGCGATCGTCAATCGTTGAACGCGATCGCACTTTCGAGATCACTACGGTCGGAAAAGCAAATCTCGATAAGAATACGAAATAAGGAATGGTGTATTGGTTGCTGCAAACGCGAACTCACACGAAATGCGTCATCAAGAACCAATCAGTACTGGACGATGATGCGTTATTAATATCGTTGTAACTGGCAATAAAGCTTGGTGATCGGTGATGGTGGAACGTGACCGAAACAGTTACGATACTGAGGAACCTACTCTTTCAAGCTTTCGCCGGAAAGCTTTCGAAATGCGTTTACGGAGGCTTTAGGAACGTAGTTACGACAGTGAACATCCAAACGAGACTGGATTTGGACGGTGTCGTGGCGCAAAGAGTGGCGAATCCTCGACGAGAAGTTTTCTCAAGATGTATCAATTGCAGAAAGATCGCAAAGCCTTATAAATCTTTCACCCAAATCTTCTGCCGATCTTTTCGATCGCGATCCTAGTTTTACTTTCAAGCACCTTTAACGAGATGACCGGGAACGAGAGATGAATAGACGTCTATTATCGCGCAATGAATGAATTGGTTTCGAGATTTTGCAAACTGGTTTTGATATAATCAACCTGTCTCTTTCTTCTTACGTTGTCAATTAGTCCAGAAGAGAAAGTACACTCGTAGGTAGGTCATTGAAGCAAATCAAGTAATAGCCACGTTGTTATTCAAATGGATATAATTGATTTGATGCGCTTCTCGTTCTGCCGTTTATTAGATTTACCAACCGAAGTGCGCTAAACAGATCTGCTTTTAGTTATTTTTCGCGATATGAAAAAGTATTTGAAGCTAAGCGTCGTGTGATATTTCAATAATAAAAGTGTAAATGTCGTGGTATATATAACATTTCAAATCTCTCCTACCTCGTACTCAGTTTTTAATAGGATTATGTTGCTTCGCTGTCCAATAGAAAGAAGCGAAGGAGATTGAGAAACCGAGTCATAGTAAAAAAAAAGGAAATAGAAAGGGGATTTAATGATTGTGTTCCACGGGCTGTAATGTATCTATTATACTTATCAGAAGCACGAGTAATCGTTCGAAAAACAATACACGATTGCGGCATAATTGCTTATTAGAAAGATAAATTCAATTAAAGATAAGTGGAAGAGCTATTATTCGTTTACAAATTACAAATGCTTGTTGTTGATCGTAATGCGACATTTTTGATTCGTAAAAATAAATTTCTCTTAACTTACCATGTGACGTAAACCATAAATTGTGTGCGATATCCGATATAAATATTTAATTGTAAATACTGTACATACAGAGTAGACCTGCAAAAGAGACGACGTAGAAGGATGGCTCATATTTTTCCAAAAAAGTACATAAGAAATATGCTTTACATACAATTGATGGCGCAATAGTATCCAATAATTCGCTGACGTTCATGCACTTAACGTATATCCTTTGTATTTCCTTAAGTATCTTATATTGCATACTTTTGTATACACGGATTTGCTTACCACACATTATATTGCCAATGCGGGATGTAAAGTATTTTTATTTAGGTCGTGGTCTGACGAGAATGATTGAACTTTCAGTCCGCGCCAACGAAATCTTGGTTCGGGTATGTCGTTAGCCAGCTGGTTGCGTGGATCGTCTTCTTTCTTCAGTTCACCAGGCTTCTATTTCTCCTTTAAAAGCAAAGGGTGGGTGTAGCGATCCTTAGACGATAGCCTTTCCGTTTATCGTATATAAGTAAAGAATAGTGTTTTACGTTTTCACGAGTGAGTTTTCGCGAACAGTCTTGAGAACGTCGCTTCGAGTCGAGGAAGACGAACACCTTGTACGAGGTCGCCGTACTAACAGAATCTACTTCCGAGCTTTCGGCAGGTTGCTTACGAACGCTTAGCGATTTTCGTCGCGCACTTAAAATGGAGCTCTTTGAACGACCTTTTCAGGCCACGAAACCAAGTTTGGCGAGTCTGTTCTCCGAAAGATCTAAGATGAAACTGGAGTTAGCCAGAAGATTAATCAAACCCGAATTGAACGTTGACGAGAACGTTTACGATGTTACGACGGCCGCATATTCCGACAAATCGAAAGCGGAAGAAGTATCGACGGTCAGCGAAAGTAGGAACGTGGAAAAAACTACAAAGGCGACCAGCAAACTCATCGGCGCTCGTGTCACCCACGGAAGTTCGATCGCAGGTGCGCGAAAAGAAAAGTCGCCCGTGAGAGGCAGGTGGAAGCTTTTGGAGACGAGAAAATTGTCGAAAGATCGAAATGCCACGATCCCGCTTAGATCACCCGTCGCCACGACCAAGAAGAGCCGGGTGACTTCCGAAAGAGCAGTCGTACCTCCCTTCGTCGAAGAAACGGCCGGCACAACCGTCGATGCGACAAAAGTCCGATCTCCGACGAGCACCGCGAAGTCGCGGGAGGAGTCGTCAACACTGGCGAACACGGCGGAAGCTATAGAGGAGAACAGCATCGTTACGACCGTCGAACCGCTCAAGATGGATAAAACGTTCATCGAAATTATTACCGCTACGTCGCTCACGGACGTGTCAACGGAATCGAAGGTCCACCCTACGGAATTCTCTCAAGAGGTGACTTTACCGCCGACCGTCACCACACCGTCCTCGACGAAGTCAGAAAAGCTGTATCCGGTTTATATTCCCGACACGAAGGCATACAACTCGCTCGATGACAGTGAGAAGACGACCATCCCGAGCGACGCGAGCAAGAGCCCCGTCCGATCGCGTTACACCGTGCAGAAGGAGCAACCGGACAAGGTGGCGGTTTCGATGGTGACGTCGAGGACCGTCGGGCCCACCAGCAGGTACATTCGAAAAAAATCCGGCGTCTTCACGCCGTACGACTCAATACCCAAGACAACCACTACGGAGGCGACGCTCACGCAGACGAAGAGACGGGAATTTCGTCCGCGTACGTCGACCTACAGGAGACATTCCGAGGTGCCGACCAGCCAGGTGGCGGTCCAGCAATCGGCAACGGTCGAGCAGACGACCGCTGGCGTGACCATCACCCCGAAACCGACCAAGTACCACGCGCAAGTCGTCACGCCGAGCGTTCGCTCCTCGCCCTCCGAACCACTTGTCAGCGTGCGGATTGACACGAACGACACCACTACGGCCGGCGTCGCCGAAAGCAGCAACGGTAACAGCGGCAACTCCAACATCTTCAACCCCACCAAGAGCACGTATGTCAACGGTAACACCACCACGCTGCTGGAGCAGCTACGGAGCACCGTGGCACCGCTCCTCAATAACTTGGGGGACAAAACCCCCATCTTCTCCGGAGCCTACTCCAACGTGAATACTGCGGTAAGTGATCGATAGATTTTAGAAAAAAACAAATCGTTGGTTTTCCGATACAGAGTTAAATTGACACGTGAGTTTTACTTGTATTGGTACAGTCGCGCGGCCAGAAAGGTTGTCCGACGTTGCATGATAAATTTCGGAAATACAAAGGAATGATACCATATTCCGATGCCTTTCTGACCGTGACCGTGCACCGTTTGTAGTCGAGAGAATGCTTTAAGCCACTCTGTATGCCTGTGACGTATTCAAGTATCCTACATACACGTATCTACTTTAGGAATTTTCTTTTCATTATAATTAATCTTATATTAATTTAATTTAATATTTACAGAGTTTTGTTAGAATTCGTTGATTATGTTAATCTGATGATATAATTGTAGGATGTAGGATGTTACTTTTACATCCGAAATATTTCGACGATCACTATGATTAATTCGTTTGCAGGTAGTCACGTTAGAGAAACGAATTTTACTTCCTAGACAAATAAAGGAAGTCATCATTCAAAAAATTATATGACCATTTCCCGCGACGTAGACTTTTACACTCCAGGAAGAGAATACGTTAGAGTATATGAGTTTCTTTCTGCGAATAGAATTCAGCGCCCAGGATAACGCCTAACGGTTCCCCGCCGAGATTCAGCGCGAGATACAAAGGGGCAGAATTGTTAGTAAGAAAACCGTCCATTGGTCAAGCTGTGGTACCGTCGATCACAACGTCGTCAACTACAGCCTCGACACCGATAGAGGTAAGACTTTTGAGGATTTTGGAGAGAATTTTATGAGGAACGTCATCGAGGAGAGACGAGCCTTTTTTTCTCGCTTTCATTAATGCACATTGTACAATAACCTTTTCCATTACATGTTGTGTACTCAATCGAATGGAAAGCGTCGATTCGTAAACTTGTCAGCTTTAACAGCAACAATTCGCGTCGACACGATATTCTCTCATTTCATGACATACGACCTTTCATTATTTTATGATAAATATATATTTATCATAAATATCTCGCGTTATACACATGTTGTATTCATAAAAAAGAGCTCTTATTCTTTAAAAGAAAAACGGTAACAACGATATAGCGATTTTATGGTAGTTGTAATGTTATGCACTTTTATATATACATGACTGAATATTATATCTGACTTAGCATTATCTCAAGACAAAGTACTCGTATTTTATGTGCCCTTTATGCGTATATATGTGATACAATACTGTGCTACGCCACTGTATGTGAAGTATACTTTTCACACAGCCTAAAAGTAAGTCGCAATAAGTTGTGTAGTATTAAAAAAAAAAGAACTCGCGACGAAAAGATCCAGGTAAGGCGGTATGCAAGCCGACAATGCGTTAATGGTTCCCTTCAGGAGAAGTTACGTGAGGTAATTTTCTGTGCTTAAAAGGTGTTCCCTACGAAGGTACCAGAGGATTCCGAAGCAGTTGCACCGCCATTGTGGACCGGCTCTATCGTCTCAACCCCATCGAGCGATCTCGTACTTAATCATATCGATGCAAACAGCCTGCGTTAATCTGACCACCCTCTTGATCATAATAAGACACCGTCTCAATTCGTCACACGCCTTCCTCAATTGTCTTTCCCTTTTTCTTCAGCGAACAGCCGAAGTATAACGACTGTCGTACGAGTTACAGATGCATTTTCAAATTGCGTTAACAATAGCTTCAATTGATTTAGTCTGTGTTCATCTGTGAGTATCAGTTGCACTAAAAAGAGCACATACTTCTTGCTTCGATAGAGCACGTCAGCACAAGCATAAATCATTGCACAAACAATCTACTGGGACTAAGGTCGATTTACGAAGATCATTAGATATCACGTTCTAACACTTAGGAGGATTCGTCTAAAAAAAAATAGGATGACTTATTAACTTCGAGGAAGATTAATGCACGGTCATCGATCATGTCACGTTATTTCATAGCACTCACGTATCATACACTTATATGTGCAAATATTGTATTATACAACTTTATACTTTTTATAATAAATGTATTAATTTTGCAGCATTGCACGCGATTAGCAATTGTTTGCCCTTATTTAGCCATATTAGACTTAAAACAGAGTTAAAATCTGCAAATATATACACGTATGTTATGGAAAAAGAAGTCTTTTATAAAGGAAGAGAGAGAAAATAAACCAGTAATATTAATTTCTAGTTTTGTCCTTTCATTTATGATGTATATTTACAAATATAACACAGATTTATAAGTGAATTAAGAAAGTAGTATTGAAAGAGCAGACACGTGATATATCTTTATAATATATACTTGGTCTACATCAATTGTAAAATTCAGTTTGAATATGTATACAATGTAGAAAATGGCCCCAATCCAACTACGAGTATTCACGATCGGTCGGAAAAGTCGCATACTAAACGCAGTGTTCATTAATGCGAATTTAATTATAGAAGTGCAGTACTTTCCATTATTTTTAGTAAAACTTCTCATAGGAGTGCATCGTCGCGGATACGTCGTGCCGTTTCAACCTTGCAATAACATTGAAAATGTACGCATCTCTTTATCCCCGAATTCGGTCGCTCCAATTTCTCGTAATGTAATATAAAACAAATTGCACTGTACTTTGCTAAATCGCAGAAATTGTCAATATTTATAATAAATCTTACAGATGTTCATTTCACCGTTCGTCTCGTTGTCAGCATTTATCATCCATCTGTCATATTGCATCTTTATCCGCAATTGGATATTTCTCGACATTAATGTATCTTCGAGAGACATCGAATACAGATACAATCTATCTTGATTCTATAAAGACATTTTGCATGCTCCGTCTCATTAAGAAAATATCGCTCTTGGGCAGCGAGAAGTGAAAGTACACATTCGTACATAATAGATCTGTACGCTGGTGAGCGCTTATCTTCTATCTCTCTTTGTAGCACACGATAAAATAAAAACGATAATAATGGAGGAAGAATATGTCGCCATCGCGTACATCCTTCGCTATCGATATAACTCACTTTTCTATTTCTTTTTCATTGGTTAACTTCGCAATTAACTCTACAATTCCAATATATTTCTTTTCATAATTGCAAATTTCTTTCCTTACAAAGCTTGCACTTAGAAAATGTCCAAGTGATTATGTCAGAATTAGACTTGTTTCGCGTGATAATTTTGCACAACGCGAGTAACTCCGGTGCCTCGCACGTGCCGCCGTTTTTGAGGCTTCCATCGGGCAATCGTGCGAGAAATTGTTAATGCAATACTTCCGCAATAATGTAATAGCGAAAGCTACGTCGGTGGAGGCCTCCGTAGATGCAAGGTAAGAGCCGGCAATAAGAGCCCAAAGAAGAGAAAAAGGTGTCGGAGACGCGAGGGGAACTAGTCTCTCCCCGCCGTTTCCAAGTAATCTTTTAATCTTAAGAACAAGTTCCAAGTCACCGGCTGTTACATCAAGACCTTACATTCGGCGACAGTTCTCCTTCCTCTCGCACTAGTTCGTACATGTACCTAGAGATGGTGTATGCTCACATGTTCTCTCACATAACGTATATCCATTTGTACAATTGTATCTGCGTTAAAAACTGTTCTATCGAGTAGCTCGCTAATCGCTAATAAGAAACGTTGTACATTAAACCTAACTGCGTTACCGTTGTATTTATTTGAGTGCACATCTGTAAATAGAACAACCAGGTCGTATTAACTCTTAAACGCGCGAGCTGCCGTGCGCGGCCCATGCGGCCGCCATTGGCATACCTTCTCAGCTTCCCGAAGCTAGGCTCGACGCGCTTAAGGGTTGAAACGCCCGGCCCTCGACATGTAGATTACGCGCGATCACAGAAAGCCTCCCGTTAACCGACCACTCTGTTTGAACCGCCCGACTACCTTTGTCACCGTAATTGCACCAAAGTGTGTACAGCACTCGCACGCACCGAATTTCTGATTGCAGAATTCCGGTTCGGCGCCACCCGTTGACATCAACAGCCCCGGCGAGCCCAGATTCGTCACTTTTTATCAGGCGTTAGAGTCGGCTAGCATAAGAAACGAAAATCTGGGCGCGGAAGACGTGTCACAGCGGCAAAGACTAACTGGCGTGGTAACGAAGGTAGACCCTAACGCTACTGTACCTAACGGCGCCAGTAACGACATTGCTAACAACAATGACACCATAGCATCAATCACCGCGACTACTACATCCTCCCCAGATACCACTACCACAGACACTACCACCGCCGTTCAGTCGGCAAACAATTCGCTCGCTTCGAGATTAGGTACGGAGAGTAGTGGCGCCGGCACCACGACGGTACAGACCCCCGCATACCCGGACACGAACGGCAGGGAAACGACTCCAGTCCCCGTCTCGGATGCGCCCGGGACTACCGTCCCCGTTAACACGATAACGAACCCACTGCCGTCCGATACGAATGTCCCGGGTGCCGCGGGATCGCCCACCACTACCGAGACCGCCGACGTGACTTCGGCAGCGTTGCCCTCCACGGAATCCGCCCCCGACGACCCACCACCTACCGAGACCACGGAGGTAGCGTCGCTACCCACCACTGAAGCGATCAACGCGAGCGTGTCCGCGCCCGCTTCTCAGAATCTGCAAACGGCGACAGATACACCGGATACAACCGTGCCATCCCCCGTCACCGAGAGCGTCACCGTGACGCACTTACCGGAAACGACGACGACCACGACGACCACGACGACGACGTCGGAAACGAATACCGTGCAACAGCCCGAGGAGACGACGCCCCGCGCGACAGAGACTACCGAGGCGGTCGACGATATAGAAACGAACACCGTGCAGCAAACGTCTCAGACGACGGAACCCACGAGCACCGCCGAGCCAGCCACGACGGAGGAGATTTCGAATGACATAATCGAGATCCGCGCGACGGCGGCACCCGCCTTCACGTCTACGTACCGCACGCGGTTGTTCGACTACGCGCAGGACATCCTGTCGCGTTTGTCGCAAAAGGGCTTCTCCACGATTAGAACACCGCCGGTCCAAGGACCCACCGTCACGACGACCGTCTTCCCCGACCTGTCCAACGCAATACCGGACTCGTCGTCGGCGAATACGGAGAACCCGCAGCCGGAGGAGACGACCACCGCGCGGGCAGCCGCTGAACCGGGAAACGTCGAGACGACGTTGCCACCGGATGTAGAACTGGTGCCGACCACGGCGGACGGGGCCGGGGTGATCGATACTCGAATAGGTTCGGACGCCACGCCTCAGGGTGGTCAGTCCAACGGCCAGGAGACAAACGCACGGGATACATTGGACTCGGGTACAACCACGGGACAGACGTTGCCGAGTGTCGCGGGCAACGCGACATCAGACCCCGAATCGACGACAATAGCTCAGAATACGCGAGCCCCGTCGACAAACGAAGACGTCGCGACACCGACCTCGCGACTCGTCGACCCCGTCACGGAGAACGACCCCCGGTCGTCCAATGACACGCTGCTCGCTGAGCTAATGACTATCGCGAAGACCCTCTTCACGGAAGCGATGAACGACACGCGGCAGTCGATTCAGACTGACGGCACGGTAGGAAACGACGATAAGAATCGTGCCGTGTCATCGAACGGCACGGCAGAAGCTACCACTGCACCCTCCGAATTTTCGAGACCCTTAGAAAGCACTACCGCGCCCACAGACGTCGCAACGCCCGTTGATTTACCCGGAAGCGAAAGAGAAGATAATTCCACCCGCGGCCCTGTTGTAGGATCGAAAATTTCGTTAGTGGAGTCTAACGCGCGACCCACCGATGCCGATGTAGGTGATGTTACCACAGTGTCCCCTGCGCAGATAATGACCGAAACACCCAACGCCGTTACGGTTACGGGCAGCATGAGTTCGGAACTAACTACTAATACGCCTGACTCACAATTATCTAATCCGACTGAATCACCTAACAATAATACTGGACAACAAACTACCACGACCGTTGCGAATGACGAGGTCGAGTTGTCGGAATTCGCAATGGACCCCACCAGTAATCCCTTAACGAGCTCCGTTACCGCGAACGCAGGGAGAATGCTGCCCGACCTGAACGAGCTGACGACGTCGGATACGATAACGGAATTAACCACTAGCGTAGCTATGACGGAAGTAAACGTCGTACAAACGAACGTCGTAGATACCACTAATCAGACACCGGGGCCACCCGCTACGGTCGTGCCTGCATCCGACCTACCGGTCGCAAACGACCGATCCCTCGTAGCGAACGCATCGGATATCGCTGTGACACTTCCAACGGTATCCGATAAGAGCGATACTCGGCCACTTCGCACCGAGCCTCCCGCCACGGAGTCAGTCCGTAACTCATTGTTATTAAGCTCCACCGACACCACCACTAATCGACTCAACGACATAACAACAAACGCCCCTCAAACGCTAACCGATCTCGTAAGCGAGATGCCAAATCTTATTGCCCGTTTACAGGATACAACGGCATCGACTGCAACAACCGCCCAAGGGACGGCTGGTTCGAGACTCATTCAACCCGAGCAAACGACCGAAACCATCATCACCACCACCACCACCACCATCACCGTCCCTAATGTCACAGCACCAACAACCGATTCCACCACTTCCCTCGTATCCTCTACCGACCCGACGACTGTCCCGTCCTCGTCAGCCGAACCGACGGTGACGACGACGGCGACGACGACGACGACGACGACGATGACGACGACGACGTCGACAGAAGCGTCGTCGCGATCCGAGCCGCTCACCACCACTGTCGGACAAATGCCCGAAACGACCACTACGACTGCCGACATTAACGAGAACCTCGTCTCCACCGAGACAACGACCGATACCTCGACTACGCGAGGTACAACGGTCACCCCGACCGAGTCGGAGGACTTGAATGTGATATCGAGGATAAGCGACGGAGAGGCAACGACAACGACGACAAGCACCGCACCGCCCACGAACACGTCGACCGTAACAACTACGTCGACTACTTCGACTACCGCACGGACCACTGTGCTAAATCGGGTTCCGCCAGTCCCGGGGTTCACGCCTTTGAACACCGCGCCCTACCTGGGACGTTTCGGCGGCGGCCAGATAACGCCGGCACCGAGACTCAGCTCTTCCAAGGCGCCGGTCCGCGATTACCTGATTTACGGTATCTATCCCAACAAGACCATCGTGCGGAAGCGGCCGGAGGACAATCTGATCGACGGTAGAAACGTGGACAGCCCGTACGTGATATTCGGCATCTATCCGGACGGCAGACTAGTCCGGAAGTTCCCCAACGGAACGATAATACCGGAGTCATCCAGGAACCCGGTCGAGGTTGTGTTCACACTTAGAACTACCACTACTACTAACCGACCAGCACCCAGGCCGTATTTCTATAACCAGGCTAACCAAGCGGGGGTTTATAACAACCAGTATCAAGCCCTGGGGAACTATGGTAATGGTAGACCCGTGGATGAGCTGACGGGAGGCGCCCAGAGCCCCGGACCCCTTGATTTTGGACTTATCGGTAATGCGATCGGCGTTACCCCTGGAGGCCCCAATTTCGCGGGACCATTTGGTCCCCCTGCTAGCGTCCCGAGCACAAACAAAATGGTATCTCTATCTCACCTCTTCATCAAAATCATATCTTTATACGCGCAACGAGTTTGATCAGGAATCAAATCGCGGTTGAGAAACGAGTCGCGCTTCCTGGCTCTCTAGAGATTTAGAAATCGTCGCTGCGCGAAAGTAAGCTGCTGGCGTGATTTAACGTTAATATGTAGAAGTCAGATTTCTATTGAGAACAGCTATCTGCATTTTATTTACAGTTCCTACACGTGATTCTAAAAGATTGCGTATTTATCGTCAGTTTTTAAAGCCGACGCTTATTTTAATGCGCGCCATATTGTGGAGTATAAGTGTCCATTCAGTTCTGAGTTGCAATCTGGAATTAATATCGCGTTTAAATATAATATCATTTGAGAAGCAGTTAATCATGCTTAGTACGAAATGCGGATATACAAGTACAACATGTAACTGCCAGCATTTCTAATTCTTTTTATTCCTATTCAGCATAAAATATCATTCGGTAAAGTTTCATAACACGCTCTCTTTCTGTCTCTCGCTGGATAATTGTTACGTAATGTTGATAGATTAACAATTCAGTTTCTTGATATAACTTTGTAACTTGTCTTTGTAGCTTTCCTCCTGGCGGATTTCGCTCTCTCATAATACATGCTTTATATTCTCGACGTAATTTTAATGAAATGCAATTCAAGACTTTTCTTTCCAGGTTTAAGTATCGAATGCTACAACGGCTGTACACAGAATATCATTGTAAATTTGTAAATAGTTGTGGCAGATTTGTAGCACTTTTGTTTGCCCATTTGCACTTCACATTTTTGTTTTACACACTTCCGTTAGGTATAATGGCATACGCAATCTGATCATACGCCTTATTCGTATTAAATTTTTGATCATACGCCTTATTCGTATTATTCGTAAATTATTCGTAAATTTTTGATGTATTTCGCAATACATCAAAAAGATTTTGCAAAGATTTATTGTTACAGATTATATAACGCGCACGACATGTATTATACTGAGGTTAAAAAATATTTTTATTACCTATTTGAAATTTTTTCATCAAAGCTGTGTTCGAGTATTTTTTATTTCTTATTTTTACATTTGCATTAAAATCACATTTACATTAAAACGTAATGTAAATTATATTTACATTAAAATGAAGATAAAATGACATTTTTACTATTACGAGACATATTATGACATATTTTTAGTTTGATATTTATAGATAAATTTGTTGAAAACAATATTTTGGACTTGAAAAAATTACAAAATATATTTTATACTTTTGATATACCGTTATAAATTTATATGAACAAATACTTAAAAAAATGAAATTAAAAAATTTTTTTAATTAAGGAACTCAAAGTACAATTTTACAATTCTAAAAACAAAAAATCAAGATCTAATCGAAATTTACCAAAAAGTAAATTTTGATTTTGAAGGGCATAAAAATTTTATGTGTTCTTGTTTGATGACAAATGACAGTCGCATCGTTTCCTACGTAATAATTGAAGAATATTGCAAGTTTTATGAACTCTATGTTTATTTATTATATTAAGAGTTCTTTCGTAAAATTATTAAATGCGGCACTTGTATATTTCAGAGTGATATTTTATTAAATACCCAAATGGGTGCAATACCGAATGCATTCGGTAACCTACAGACACCGAATAGTGGTCAAGTACAAGGTCCGATCGGCCCTTCTGTAGTCCAGGATCGCGAAAGAAATGAAGCTTCTCGGACAAGTGTGACGTCTGATCAACGCAGCGCTGTATATATCGGACAGGTAGTGAAGAAAATCATATTAATCGTATTTACTGAAGGAGAAAACACTTGAAAGCAATCATAAAAATTTCAGGATAAATTTATTAATTATCAGATTGACGGTGCCCCCGTTGTCAATCCAAAAGTCGTGGATGTAAGAATAAATTCAGTGGCTGTAAGTAATCAAATGGCAACGTGACGATTCTTAATAATAAATGTATTACTAATAAATTTTCCTGTTTCTGTTTGCTAACTATTTAGAAATTAAAAATCACTCACACTTCTCTTATTTCCTTTCGAAACAAAAACAAGTAAACTCTTACGGAAAAGACACTCGAGTTTTGACGAATTTACTCTCAAATTTGAGCGTAAACACCCAGATTTAAATATTGACACCCAGATTTGAGAGTAAATTCGGACAATCGAGTGTTAACACTCAAAACTCGAGTGTTTTTTCCGTAAGGAAAGTACCGCTTATTTTACGCGCTGAATATAATCTATTGCTAAAAAATATGACATATAAGTTTCGTACTTTTTAATGACTAACCAATTAATAAGTATTGTGGAACATGTATAAACTATGGCTACTGCAGATAAAAGAATGTATGAAACAACATTATCAATTTACTATAAATGTGTTACTAGACCTCTGTGAACGAAGGTTCGTCCACGGCGTCGCTCCCGTCTTTTGACAATTTGCTGAACAATCAGTCGGGCGGTAGTGTAATAACAGCACCTCCCGGTTTTCCCTGGAGAGATCCCCTTGATCAGATATTTGGCATCACCACCAATTCACCTATACAAACAGCATCTGTGGCAACAAATCAATTGGTACGTATATTATACATTTAAAATCGAACACAAATATTGTTAAAAGTAGATTAATAGTTCTTGAGCTTGATAATCATTTATTGAAATGTAAAATCTTGACTGGTGACAAACAAGGAGAAATTGTATTTTTGAATCGTATAACATTGTACTGCAAAAATCTATATCCCTTTACATTTAAAAGACTGAACGTGTTAGGATTTAAGCTATTATTAGGAAATATATTTCTTAAAATTGTCACATTTGTTTCAAAATAACGGTAATGCGTGACGTTTAACGTGCCTTACTGCTTTCTCCATTTCACGTTCTTTTCATTCACGAGTATTTCTTTCCATCATTTGCAGGACGAGATTGCGTCGCGACCCGTAAGTCCCTTGGTGGAACTCTTCACACCAGTCGTGAACAGTGCAACCCCAACATCCACGACCACCACGACCACCGCTGGCACTACACCTATCACTACTGCCAGTACCACTACCCCTACTACTACTGTCAGTACCACTACCCCTACTACTACTGTCAGTACCACTCCTACTACTACTACCACTACTACTACCACCACGCCAACAACCGCAGCTACGACCGCAGCAACGATCGCAGCAACGACTGCCGCAACGACCGCAGCAACGACTTCCGCTGCTACTACCACTACTACCACCACAACGACAACTACTACTACTACTACTTCGACGACAACCCCCGCAACGACCACGACAAGCCAAACAGCGACAGGTACTACACTTACTACCATTCCCCGGCTTGCACGAGCCGCCTCCTTCATAAATACTTACGTTGTACCATATACAACAGCAGGTCGAGGAACAGTTCCATCGTCTACCACGCCAGTATCTGCGGATATATTAAGTCGGTTACAAGCGAACACGATGGAAAGCTCCTTTGGTACTACGTTCGGAGATTTGGCTTTCCTGAATTCATTGGTAAATTTCGTTTGCACTTGATAACAGCGATCTTCTTGGCACTGTCTCTTCTTTGAAGTGTCGGAGAAACATTGAAGAGTAATTTAATTGTACAATGCAATGAGCTATATAGTCTATAAGTTAGTATGATATAAAGAGAATCTCTTTATCTTTCGTAGTTACAGAATAACAATGTCAAGTCAACCACGCCGAAAACGCTAAGTGAGGTAGAGCAAATATTGGCCAACAGGGTGAGCAAAAGAAACAGTAAAATTTATAAATGAACATAGATATGGAAGAGGGAAATTAATTAATAACATTTTTTTCATAAACACGATTACTGTCTTATTTAATGTATGAAGTAAATAACACAATTAGCAAAATAATTATAAATTTAGCAAACACCTTTCGTTCAATGCTTTAATATATTTAATATATTTTGTAGATTTTATCACTTGCACTGGCTAATCCTGGACCGACGCGATCGCCAAAGGCCATTCAATCTGCGAGCTTGAATACGAATCTGAACGCGATCAAGAATCACCCGTCTTCCGGGCCGATAATAATCGACTTGTTACCAGTTTCACCTCCAAGCGTTACTAGTAGCAGCACATCACCTACGAAGAAATACACCGAAACGGTCACGGCGACACAAGCTAGCGCTGCGCCGGCTATCACGACTAGGGCACCAGTCGTTATCACTGCCAAGCCTAAAACGACACCGAGACCGAAAACTACAACCCCTCAGGGGCCCGTGGGATTTGGCGGGGGTTTATGGCGAGCGTTGTTCGGCGGCAATTTCTTCCAAGCGACCACCGCGGCGAGTGTTGCAAAGAACACGAAACCAAAAGCCGCGATTAAGACAACGACTCAGAAGCCTCGGACCACCCAGACACCGACGCAGATCATCAAGTCGACGCTTGCGAGTCACATAATGTCCGCGATCAAATCGCCAACGACATCGCGAAGCGTGGACATCTCGGACATCCAAGTGGCCTCGAGCACATCGCTCGCGGACAGTATCATTTCCGCATCGACGCCAAGCACGATTTCAACCACGCTCTTAAATAATCCGAATCCTAGATTGAAAGAAGCCTCTTCCACGTACTCGCCCGAGGATGACGCGAAATTTCTGGCTGCGCTCCTGCGAGCCGTGCAAACGGGTAAGTCGTTTCTTCTGTTTCTCAACGAGATATATAATATAATATTTAATATAAATTTAATTACAACGAAATATTTAGTTGAACATTTTTTTTTAACATGATGTTTCGTTAAGCTGCTTAAGTTGTCTAAACTATTGTTTTCTTATATTTTTGGAATTGTTGAATTTATTTCGAAAATAGATTGACCGCAAATGTAGAAGAACCATTTTAAAATCTAATTGTAAAATCAATTCCTATATTTTCCTATATATCACTGGTTTTGACTTTTAGATTTCAAGTTACAAGCTTTTAATGATCTGTGATAAATCTTTTTATATTAGAAGCAGCAACGAGTACTTCTACGACATCGCGTGGATTAAGCGACGATGATGAAGCCTTCCTGAGAGCTATTTTAAGTGATCAGACTAGTGTATCTACCACCACAGCATCATCTTCTGAAACGAATCCTGCTGCTTTGTTGGCTCTACTCCTAAAGCAGCAAGGCATAGAACCCACAACACCAGCAACGAAACTTAGGGAACAATTACAATTATCCGTGAGTGGTCTCCTTCCATTGCATTTTCTGACAATTCGGTTTATGCGATTTATTAAAATTACCAATATTCCTCGATCAGAGCCTTGGTATATTTTCTCCGGATGTGACCTCAACTACGACTCGACCAACAACTCCCAACAGGGCGGTCAGCACGGCCAGACAAGTGGTGACACCGAAACCAACTGCAAGACCAAAACCGACACTACAGACTACAACATGGACTCCAAGTTCAACGTACCCGCCTCCACTCTTTGGAGGAAGTGGGTCTTCGGGTAGCGGGCTGGTTACTGCTACTAGAGCTATAGGCAGATTCCTTGGTGCTGCCATTTCGGTGAGTATTTTTCTCTCGTGGCGACTTCTTCTTCTTCCTCGTGTATTAAGCTTAAAGCCTGTATTATCCAGTTCTCGTTCTGGTACTCGTGGAAACTTGTTTGAGATTACTTAATAAGAAAATTAATGATAAAAATTCAAAGTTCATTCTGCTTTCTAATAAATAATGAAAATAAATACGTAAATTAAATTTCGGAAAGAAACTTCTCGTAGATTCGATAATTAATAATAAATAATTACAAAATTATAAAAATTAATTATAAAAATTAATTAAAAATTCTTTAACAATTCTCTTCTGTACTCTCAAATTATGACAATAAAAAAAATTTTTTTGCAGAATGGGTATGTGTGTGTATACACATATTGAAATAATTATTTTTAAAAAATGATCTCTTTTAATTAATTATTAACATTTTTATTTTGGCTTTTAGGGTGCAGCCCAACAGTTACAATCTTTACTAAGAAATAATACCAGAAGCGCAGCTGGCTAATATTAGAATGGAAAAAGGACGATGTACATCAATTTTCGCTCAGCCTGAAAACAAATGTCAGGATTGAGATTGTAATAGTTGTTAATTAATATTGTGCTTGCTGTTGAAAGTTACAGTGGCAACATGGAAGTCGACAAAACGCTAGGAGAAAGTTCAATCAAGACAACAATAGAAAGTAAACTTGTTCAATTGTTACGGACTACTGCGGATAATATCAAAGACAAGCAGTCTCAAAATCACACTTATCTTATATATATTTACATGTTATTAAAAAAGCATTTTTCTTTCGAAGTGAGCAAATCAAACCTACATTAAATATCAAATCAATTCTCCATACAAATAATATTTAAATAATTAAAACTCGATCACTATATATGATGTACAAAGCTAAGACTCGATGTCTTGACTGAACGCTTCTTGCCAATTGCTAATCTAAGAAATGAATATTACGTTCGTCGTTGTTAATTATTACTCAAGTTCAATACGGTATAATTCTCATTAAAATTCGGAAAAAAAATTGATCAAGTATTCCACAAATTGATTCCATCCTAGAGTTCACATTTTAATAAAAATTTCCTTTTAATTCAAAGTAATGTTCAGAGAGCCGAAAATACATTGCTTCTTTTCTTCAGATAATTTTGCAACAAGATGTTCAGTGATAATTCGCAATGACGGTTTCGAATATCGAAACGCAATCCCCAAAACTTTGCAAACATTTCCAAAGTAAGCCTATCGCTGTTCCTCCAGGTGTACTTGTGGAGATGTTTGTAACGATCGTCATAATTAAGAGAATATACTAGCGCGATGCTCTTCATATCGTTAACTGTGCTCTATCGATGTGTCTTGCTTCTACGCTTTTTTCTTTCTTATTTTTCTACTGTCCTCCTTTCGTACGGTGAAGCGGTGAATGTGCTCAGTGAATCGTTAATATTTGAACTGGTATGCGGATGACTACAGACACAAGATAGTATTTATAGTAACTCTGCATTAACTTTGCGACAGATAATTTAAACTTTTAAAGTTCTAACTGTAAGAAGTTAAACTGTAAAAGACACTGTACTGCACGCACACGTTATCTGTATGCAAAGTTCTAAGGTAAAAATGTGTATGTTTTCTCTCGATTAATACTTTTGCAATTTCAGAAGAGAGCTTTTACCTCTTCGACATCTTGCCCCGTATTCGCGTATCAATATATCATACGCAAATTGTACATTATTAAATTAAAATGTTTTTTTTTAGAATAGGAAGGAGCGTAACATAATAGTATTTTTTAATGTATGTGAATAATGTTAGAGCGATTGAGGGAGAAAGATTGAGATCGGAGCAAAGCTGATTTATCTTTCTAGACAACCGAAAAATTTAATTGACATCGAAAAGATTTCAGTTTAGAGACGTTCTTTAGGTGACTTTTAGATGATATACGTTTGATCGAAAAGACAAAGCTCGTGTGAAGTTCTCGTCCCTATTCTAATAGTCTGGTGTGTGACTTGTAATTGATAAAGTATAGGCAAAACTGAATATTACTTTTTATTTAAAAACTTTTCAAAATAATTATCTAGTAATTATTTAAACGTTTTTAACATAAGTAAATAGAAATTTTACTTAATAGATTTGATTAATTGTCAGTTCATATTTTTGTAAGTAATCGAGCCGCTTGTCTATCTCACGTTTCACAATTTCTTTTTTAATAGAATGAAGCAAGACTCGGCATATGAGTCAAATTAATATATGGGATTATTTTATTATTTTTTAACTGGTAGCCTCATTAACGTTATGAAATATTATTACAATTGTTGTCAGCATTCCTTACAATATTACATATAATATTTGAATGATGAATTCAATTAAAAATTAAACTTATTAAAAACTTATAAAAAATTTTCAGTTCAATTATTTAACATGCTAGTACATATATACATAATATTATAACTCATTACTGTCCTGGCAAATGAAACGAAAAATATTTCTTATGCTTTGAAATTCGCGAATCAAGATAACTGTGAATTTACAGAGCTGTGAATGCATATACGTACAGGTAAAGTATATAATATATATACTTTATACGTATATAAATAAAATATTAGAACTTCCGCGGAGAGAGAGAAAATTATTTTTAGATTAGAATAAACAAGATAAGCAATTTTCAGCAACAAAACGCAACAGTGGGTAATTGCATGCTGCATACTAAAAATGGTTGTGAAGATATTAAAATAAATAATTTCATACGCATATAATTATCTAATCATATCTACTATATATGTATAATCAATACAATTTATCAATATCGAAACGGTTTGTTATAAAATCTGTTTAATTGGCTGCGTAAGTAAAATGCCATACATCGCGATAATAGCTTGACTCATAATTTATTTACTTATACTACCGGAAGTTTGTAAGAAAATCAAATAATATTTACGAGCAATAATAATCTTTTTTTTCCCATTTAAGTCGTATATATATAATTCAGTCCGTTTATATGTTATGATATAGTTACACACCCAGTGTAAGTCTGTACATATGTATAATCGGTTATTCCTATATTTTATATAGTAATAAACATAATAAGTTATATTTCCCTAATATTAGTTAACATTACGGCGCCAATTGTATTACAGTAATGTATCTTGATATATAGAATGATGCCTTTCTCACAGCTGCTGTAATATTTATTCAAAATACGCATCGAATGCCTTGTAATTATAATGTACATTTGCATATTAAACAACTTCTCACATTTAAACAGACATTACTTTATCGACCCACGATCTAATTGTGCTGCGTAATTGCAAAAGTATTTATTAAAAAATGTATATATCGAACGTTCTTTAATTGCGATATACTTGCACATTAAACAACTTCCCCATATTAAACGTATGTTACTTTATTTACATTTGAGCGACGGATACAGAGTAACTTCTACCGAATTGCAGTAATACTAGTTACTATCATTACTGATAAAAAATAAACGCCATAATCACGATGACATGATAGATAATCGATATCGGTACGTAATATGATTAAAAATATTTAAGAGAAGTATGACACAATGCAATGCGTATTTCTTAACTTCGTTAAGTGTAAGTTGACGAGCGATAACACACATGTTAAATCATACAAAATTAAATTTCACAGAGAGGTAACAGAAAAAGATTTATCTATTTTCTTCTATTACCTTCTATACACTGTTTTTTTTTCTAGGAAACATGATTTAATTTGCAAGTGTACAATAGAGACGGCAAATAATTATAAAGAACTCTGAACACGTCTTTACACGCGATTTAGCATATTATTGCCTCAAAATGTTCAATTGTTTGAAATTCTTAGACGATCGTAACAATGACAGATGAGGGTCTAATTCTGATCGTATGCACATAGAGAGGGAGATGATAGAAGGAATATAATCTACATAAAACGTATTATAATGCTGTAACTGCACACCGTGATCTCATCAATCTCAGTCATCACATTTTCTATTGTCTCGTTCTTTCTTTACTCTTATAGTAATTATGATTTTCTGATAACACAAAGTGTGAGTAATATTATACATTTAAATATACGCGTTTTATCTATATGCGCTAGCATAGAGATTAACTTGCTAGTTGATGTTGCAATTAAAAAATGTATTAGACCCTTGGGGAAAAAAATAAAATACTGAATTCGCAAGACATGAATTTTATGCAAAATTCTTACAATAAATTGGTGTTTTGGTAATCAATCATTACTAGTTAGAATAATTACTACATTATATATATATGTATATATATATCTTTTTAGAAATAATTTTTCCATTTCGTCGAAAATATTACAGACGAACAATATCACTTTTCATCAACTTTGTCACAACATATGTAAAAAATTTGCAAGAAGATTTTATAAATCATTAGTCCAAATTTTCAATATTAAAACTTTACTATTTAATCTTTAATCGAATTAAAGACAGCCAGCTTAAAGCAAAGCTTTATCTATTTGCGTTCTTGTATATACTTTACCATATAAGCTACTTCTTTATTACACAGTTCTATAACTATTTGCAATGTATGTATATATATTTTGGTCTTAACACTGGAATAGCTGCCGCTCCTCTTAAATATCTCTGGGTTTATACGTATACTTAATTACGGATATAATAACGCTCTCAAATAATATCCAGTCGATCAATTTATATCAATCTGACACAGAGAATAAATGTAGCTTTTCGCTCTATTCATATGAGAGTAGAAGAAAAAAATTAAGAGAAGAATTGAATAAAACTAAAGTCTATGAAGTGCATTTCATGCATCGGTCAGCAACATTCAGGTGTACAGTTATAGCATTGAATACAATGTATATATGTTCTAATTCAAGTTAGGGCTCCAAGATAGGTAATCACCCTACAACTGCCAGAAACGATATTTTCAAATGATCCTAATAGAATCCTTACTGCGTCATTTGTACTGCACAGAATATTTCTAGATATACTACAGAGCATACAGATAAAATTATGTTAATGATCATACTATTCGTAATTTCTCAATAAATCATTCCTCGGCATAACTAACAACATTAGAGAATTAATCGTAACAAAATGGGAAATAAAATCGATACAGGCTACATATTGTATATCTATAGTAGAGCTATGAATATTCAGTTATTTCTCTTATTATTTGCAATTAATCTTAATTATTCATTCTCATGATATATTACTGTTCCTGTACACAATGTCCGACAATTCTAGTTTGACATACAACATGTACTAATACATGTGCAAAAGGTAATCTAAACTATATTAAGACTCAAAGAGTTCAGTAGATCACCCTATATTCCAAAGGAATGATTAAAAGAGAGCATGTACAAAGGATTCGTCGTTTAGCTTCGAGATCAACATGTACAGGAATATTCTCTACGCAGCTATAATAAAAATAAATTCGTGTGTTAATAAATAAATAACAAACATACATATTATAGAGTGTGATGTTTAGTGGAAGACTGTATTAAGGGTCGGTATAAGAGATTAAACTTTTGTCTTAAACTTTTTATAAGCAAGGGTTTCAAGAATACAGTTGTAATATTGACATTAGCAGTCAGAATTACATTATACACACTGCATTAATAAATGCAGATGATCATTAACAAATAAAATGACTATAAATGAAATAAGTATATTTTCTATAATAATCATGCATGTAAAATGGCAATGTTATGTAATAATGTAAAAACTATAAAAAAAGGTTCACCATCAATAAATAGAATAATAAATAAAAGTAGAAGAGATACATAAGTGTATATAGATATAGTACAGACTAGAGTTTGATTTAAAAAAAACATTGCGCAAAGTATCCTCACAAGACCTTTATATTTATTCGTCAAATATTTAATATTTTTTCGTCAAATATTTCATATTTTTTCATTCTTTTGTGTTTGTAAAATATTTAATTAAAAGTAAAATAATAGATAATGTATAAATTAACTCACAGTAATAAAGTATTCAAAACGCTATCAAAGAGAAATTACATTTTACTTAATTATTCAACGAATAGCCCTAGTAGCACAGCGCATTGAACAAACATTGGTTAAGGAGGGTGGTTGCTGAAATAAAAATGATAAAAATGAATTCAAATTTATAGAAAATATTCGTCTATGGGAATCTGTCCTCCATGCGAAAGTTCAAGACGATTGTCTGTATGGTTGTCGAATAATTAATTATTAAAGTTATACTATTACACATGGCGAACATAGCAAAAGTATTACGATATCTGGAATTTAATTCTCGAAAGCATGTTAAAAATGATAAGAATTTTATAAAAATAAGTGCAAATAATTCTATACATATTTACGAAGAATTTTGACGAATACAGAAATGACTTGTCTATGTAGTTATCAAGAACATATATATTTTTTTTCTTGATAACTACGTAGACAAGTCAAATATCGTATTCGTAAAAATTCTTCGTAAATATGTATAGAATTATTTACACTTATTTTTATAAAATTCTTATCATTTTTAACATATATGTATATAATATATAATATATATAATATATATTTATACTATCATTTTTATGTATATTTATTAAAATGATATATATATTTCTATAAATTTAAATTCATTTTTATCATTTTTATTTCAGCAACCACCCTCCTTAAACATTGGCCCAATATTTGGTTGACTTGGTCCAACATTTAGCCAATGCACTGTGTTAGGGATTCTTTTCATGCTTTCAATTTCAAATAACTAAAATATTGCTATGCTTATAATACAGACTAACTGTCTTAATATATAATTTCGTGACAATATTTATATAGAAGTTTATTAATTTCATTATGTATATTAGCAATTTATTATAGATACTCATCAATGTCTAATAAAACTATGATAGGCAAGACAACAGAATAAAAGATGCGCCGTGATTATTCATATTGTTTTATCGGCTGTATAATGTAATAATATTAAATCTTTCAATATTCACAACTGTATCCTTCATTACCCTTAATCTGCAAAGACTTCCATTCATATAAGAGTGCTGGGCAATATTATATACTTTTCAAACTAAATAATTTTACATGAGTGTACTTTAGTCAAATAGATAATTTTTACTATACAAACTGCCAAAATCAGTTACTTATTAATTTTCTATTTTAAAATATTTAACTGCATAAGGAATTTCCAACATCTCTTTGGATAAACAATCTTTTACTATTAAAAAAATCTTATGACAATACACAATAGGTAATCGCAAATCAGTAGAGAATTTAAGAAAAATTTAGGAAAAGAATTTATTAAAAAATATATTTTTTCCTTTTTGTAAAACATGCTATAA